TGTAAACAAGGTGTAATATTTCGAAATACATATTTTACTGCACTTTCGAATGATCTCATTATCGATTGCAAATCTGATAAGATTATCGAAAAAAAAAAAAAATATAATAAATACTTATTTATTAATTAATTCAGTTTGCTTAACATTGCAAAATGAACATGAAGTCCGTTTTAATATTGCTAGTAATTTTTTCACTGGATTTTGTTTGTAGTTCTGATAAAAATAATTATTTGTCAGGTAAGATTGGGTTATTTTTAAATAAATTTTGGGGGATTATTTATTCGACAGATCAAACACTATGACAAAAAATACCATTGAACATTGACTGTCTTAGAATCTAGATTTGAGTATTGTATTTTTTTCTCCAATGCACAATAGTTACGCAATTTTATCCAGGTATTTCTAGACTCCCCGGCACAAAATTCCGCCATCCTAAAATTTTTTTATATAACTTTTTTTTGTTTTATCCTATTTTTATGAATTTTTTATCTGTTTTTAGATACATTTTTCTGATTGTTCTTTAATTATTGTAATAAGTAACATTTCTCGTTTAGGCAATACTATACAAAGGTAAATCAAAATGTTGTTTCTCGTCGAAACTTCATGTTTTCTGTAATCTCAGATATATTCCAAACATTTTTTTTGATTCATCCCATCCCAGATACAATAAATTAAATTCTCAAAGTGTTGGTCACAGTAATTTTATTCAAAAGTTAGTAAAAAGTGCTACTAGTTTCGGCTTCGCAGGGTCGTCATCGTCAGGTCCAGAAAGAAAAAAGTGTTCGACCAACAAGTAAGGGGAAAACTTCACAAAGGTTTAATAGGCTAAATACAACTATAATGACAAAGATATTTTGAACTTTTAGAACTAAACATCAGATTCATCTATAGGGACTGCGGCTTCTGTTGTGCCATCTTTGGTTCTCTGAAAAATGTTCATCGGAGCCTGGGATAGTACATCAGAGTGACGTAAGATATGTTTTTGTTTTTCTGGATAATAAATTATACTAAATAAAAAAAGTAATTTTTTGAATATTTTTTTGAATTTTTTGAAATAAAATATAAAATTTAACTAGGCTTCAGCATCTACACCAAGCGAGGCTTCTGCAGTACTGCTCTTGGTTTTTCCCTAGAACCAAGAAGGACAGTGGCTGCAATGGGTGTTCACTTTTTCCAATAATTTTATCATTTGTAAGTTCGGTTCAAAACCTTGTAGAAGTGTAGTTATTATTATCAATATCATACTGTTTTCAAGCACTGCAACTATTAATGAATGAATAAATGAATATTTTAGTTATTGTAATATTTTTTTTGTTTTTAATACGTTGAAAACCATTTATAAACATTATTAGTTAGTCAACTGAATTTTCTTCATATTCTGAGATTATTTTTAAATTGATTTTTGTGTAAAAAATATTATATGAAACTACCTACCGTTTTCAGTTTTTATTGTAAATTTACTTATTTTCATAATTTGTCGCACATGTTAAATAAAATAATATATTTTTTAAATACCCTTTATTGACAAAAAACAAGTGAACTATAATGTGTATTTTATACATACCTAACATAGACACAACTATTAAGTTTCTTGAATTAATTTAGGCCAGTGCAATATTTATATTTTATTTCCTCTATAATGTAAGTTAATGAAATCTTCAGTGCTATATCAGTCTGACACTGTTTTTCAGTACCTCTGGCATTTATAGATAGGGCATTTTTCTATAACTTCAAGGGACTACCTAAAAAATAAACAATTATTCATATAAAATTGTACCAGGGTCAATAAATTTGGAAATAATCATAACCTCAATAATAGTAATTTTTTTACCTGTGATATTTTTTTGGTAACAATCGTTGAACTGACACACATACTCCCGATTTATTAAAGTCACAGTTTTATTTAAACCTAATTTTTAATACAATTCACAATTAAAATTGTCTCATGTTGATTTTTGACAGCTTAATTGGAAAGTTGGTTGGAAACGTTGAAAAGTTAGAATATGAAGTAGGTAGATACGGAATAAGGACTATTTTGTGATATGACAAATGAAGGCACTTTGCGTCATATTTTGATTAATTTTAAGTTAATAATTTTATATTTCTAGATTGACGGAATGAAAATGTTTTTATCTTATTTAAATCACGCTATTTTAAAAAAATGGCATTTACTATCACCAAAACTAGCTCGAGTTTGACATATGTCGTAAAAGAGTAATACAAAAGTGCAGACAGGTTTAGTACCGTCATTGCTTCTCTATATCTATGATTTGAAAGATTGGTATGGCCCGCCTAGTTTGTGACGTCACGGTGTGCGTTACGCAAATTAGGCTGATTTAAAGTTATAACAGTTTCACTACGTTCCAGGGATCTGTTATCGTGTGACATCTCTTTTTATCTAAAGATTTTTAAGAACGCTTTTCACTCACTTATAAAAGCGCGCCACAAAAATGCGATTAGCCAGACCGCAGTGGCGTACCCAAAAATAGATATTAACACGTATGAAAAAAAAAATTATTAAAATTGAATTAATATTTTTTTTATTTATTTTAAAATAATGGGTTTTAATGAAATGTAACTGGGTATTCACAGCACAAATGAACCAATGGAGAAACCGCCCCTGAAGAAGGCACAACGTGATCTATTCAGCCCTAGTCGTTGATAAAAAAAAGAATTTCTGCATATAAAATAAACACATTCCAATATCATCATTTATACAAATAAACATTAAAATTCACATTAAATATTTCTTAAACATAACTAAATAACGTTTCAATTTTATTAATTCTTTATAAATTCGCTCTCACTTGATTTAAACCTGGTGTAACTTAACCTATACCGGCAAGAGAACGCACCTTTCCTTTTTGACATCTATCATATTAACGTCAAAAGGTGACACTTGGCAACCTTGTCCTTTAGCCGCCCGAAATATGGGAAAAAAATGGCTGATGTAAATTAGTCAAAAAACTTTTAATTTTAACTAACAAACCAAAAAATAAAATAAAGACTATTTAGTAAGGTGGGATATTCCAGCATTTAATGTTCGGACATAAGATGATCTTTAAACTTTTTGTGTGTCCATATGACAGACTGTATATAAATTTCATCACATTTCTCCCTTTCATTTTAATTTGTCTTTTAACTTTAAACACAATTAAACTTGGTGACAATTATTTTAGGCATTATCCCTTATCTCAACACAAGCTTAATCTTCATGAGGTTCTATAGAAACGATTACTGGTTGTTTCCCCATTATTGTTTCCAATATTGGTTTCCTTAAAAACGATTGATACAAAAATTATTGTTGCACTGGTTTTTCGTATCTCATTTTTTTTCAACTCAACTTTAACAAAAATTATACAACTGATAACATTAACATTATACCTCTATCATAAAACTGTCGAAGTGACGTCAGGATCTATAGGGCGATGAGTAACACTTCAAGCATATATTACTATTACATGCTCGAAGGAGTAACATTGTACTTTTTTTGTATTAGTTTGTTTCCTATAACAGTCGCAGGCTACTGCAGGGTACTGCGTAACATTATTATAAATCATTAGACACTTGACGTTCAAAATCATCAACACTTTGATTGTTATCGTAGTTATTCGTTTTTCGGCGCATATTGACTTTACTTCAGCTTCAGTGCTGGTATATAATTGGACACCCTTTAAAGTAGTTTATCCCAACATCTTGGTAACTCTATCGTAAGGCACGCATGTCCTTACCATCATGGATCTTTTTCAATCGTGATTTCATTGTTAACTTTCTCCACTGTTTACAACTGTTTACCACTTTGGATTAAAAGTTGATGATATAGCAAACCATCATAAGTAACTGAACAATTTTACGTTTAAGTGTTATCAAATATTTATTATTATCAAAAAATATTTCCTCTTTTCTGGTAAAATCGTTTATCATGGAAAATAGATAATTTCGTTCTCTATCTACGAGTAGGTGGCTTTTCTTATAAAGAATTTCCCCGCCTGATACCACTACTGATATTTTTACCCATTTTAATACGACGTTTACTATCCCATCTCTCATTTACACATCCTCCTGCTATTTTCCTTAATTCTTTTAACTTAACAAGTAAGTTAATTTTTATAACAATTTTCACATCATTATTTTAGTCATTCTAATTGTATTTAGTCTGTTTGACCTTTGTGTTGTTTCTCCCCTCACTTGTTAGTCCAACAATTTTTTCTTTCTAGGCCTGTTGATGACCCTGCGGGAACTAGTAGCAGATTTTACTTTCCATTAAAATTACTGTAACCAAGTCTTTGAGAAATTGTTTGATTTAATCTTTCAATTATTAATACCCAAATCACAGATTTCTTGAAATATTTATTATTTAATTGGTACACTAAGTAAAAGAAAGATAATTATTTTAAGCTTAGACAATATTAAAGATTCAAGGGCGGCTCCAGGTCGAATTTTCGGAGGGGGCCATTTAGATTGTGTAACTGGGACCATAAATAATTCTACACAATCAAATGTAGCATACTAAAATCGTGAAATATATGGTAGAGGTACTAATTGTTTTTTAATTAAGGAACCTTAGTGAAAAAACCGTTCATGAAAAACAATATAAAAACAAAGATAATTTTAAATTTATTTTAATGTATTTTATGATAATTTTTGTAGTATATCCATTCAAAAAATCTACGAAACCTTCATTAACAAAACTAAAAATAGTAATAATAATAATAATAATAATAATAATAATAATATTCTTTACAAAACGAACTCTCTATTCCCATTTTTTGCAAATCTTTCGATGACTTTCTCCCATCCTCGCCCTTAACCAAGTCTTTACTCTTCCTAATGTTGAAAAACTCCTTTCTGTCGTGGCCACACTCAGTGCAGGCAGTTTCTTGTTTTTCTCTTTTTCCGAATTCCAATGATTTTTCCAAAGGGCCAGTTCTCCTTCAAACAGAATACTGTTTGTCTGGATGTCTCTGCTGCCAATAATATTGGAAAATTTTCAAAGGCTGTTAATTTTTAATTAAAATAGTTTTATTATCTCTGTTTGCCTCGGCTAGTATGCTAGGAATGATTTCTCGCAGACCAAAACAATCTAAGGAACTAAAACGTAACCTAGAAGACAAGTCGTTGGATACATTGTCGAAGAGATGAATATAAATTGATCTTCTGTAATATTCCTCTTTACCTCCAGGATAGTTTTCTTGTTTGGTCTGCCTACCTGCTAATCTAGGCAGCTTTATTTCAATATCTAATCCTGTTGCTACTTCTGTAGCCTTCTTATAAATTTTGTCAAAATTCTGCTCACAATTTTTTCTTTTTTCATTGATTGTTGACATGGTGTTGGACACAGCTGTAGAAGCCCCGTTAGCGTCAAGATTTGGCATTTGAAGAAGTCGGCTAAGTGTTATTTTTAATATATCAATGAGAGAAAACATTGACAACAAAAACTCAGTCGTGCACAAAGAGTTTAGCAGAGTTGTTGCAATTGTAGAAGTCTTTACATCTTTCCATACCGAAATTAATGTAAATGCTTCAACTATTTGAGAAAACCCAGATCGAAATTGAATTACTTTTTCGTGACGCTCAACCCACCTTGTTTTGCATAGACTCGTTAATTGATGTCCTAATGTTGATTTCAAGACTTGATTTCTCTTAGCCGACATATTAAAGAAGGATACTACTGACTTCATTACTCCAACTGCATTTCTGATGCAAACAACGTGTACTGAAGTAGAAAGAGTTGTTTAGGGCATGAATTATGCAAGGACACCTACATGCATTTTTCGCTTTTTTCTGTATTTGATATACTGCTCCCACTGCTTCAGACGACATTACACTGCAACTGTCAGTACCAATTCCCACACAGTTGCTTAACTCTAGAGACAGTTTCTGCAATATATTAATAACAATTTTTCCTAGAGCCTCTCCAGTTAATCGCTGTTCACCAAGCGTATCATTATCTGGATTGACGGTTTTAATTTTTTCATATGCGTCAATAAATTTGACAAAATTTTCATAAATGTTGTTTTTGTATACATATCTCAAATTTAAAGAAAGTTGTTTCGTGTGGAAAACGTCTGTAGTGTCATCAAATAACACTAAATAATATTTTGCCTCTCGAAATTGATTTAGTATGGTTTCTAATATTTCGTCACCACAACATTTTATCAATATATACGTTGCCCTTGAAGAGGCTGTAGCTAAGTGTTGTTTTAGATTGGTATCTCCTGAAGAAATTCTAAATCTTAATAACTCTCTAAAATTGCCCAGTCTCTTTGTCCAGGCAGCCTTCATCTCGATGGCCTCTTAGAGGAATGTTTTGTCGATCTAAGAACAGTATGGATTCTATTATTGGGCGTAATCTCTCTACAATTTAAAATTTGTTAGATGTATACAGGATGTCCCACATAAGAAAAAAAAAAATTAATTCATTAAAAATTATTCAAACAAGAGTAAACAATTAATTTCTGGGAGACTTTTTTTCCTTAAAAATTCAAATAAATCGAAAACTAATAATAATAGTAATAGGGAACCTTTAGTTAACTGACATTATTTTTGATGTAGTTTTTAATTCTAAAATAAAAAACAGGGTGTTCCATTAAAAATAATAAAACTTTGTATATTTTCTCTTATGTGGGACATCCTGTATACATCTAATAAATTTTAAATTGTAGCCGTCTGTAACCTACGTATTCCTCCCAAACGAATTTTTTATATCTTTGGTCGTTTTCCCATAAAGCTCAGTCCCGTTGAGCGTGAGCCACCCTGTATAGTACACAAAATAAACTTTTAAAAATATTGAATTCCTAATCTGTTTATATCTAAAAATATACAAGTGAAATTTTTAAAAACGTTTTTCTCATAAATTACTTTTTTGTGACATTCATCTATTTGTCCCTGTAACCTTCTCTTTTCTTCATACAAAATTTTCCACTTCTCATCTCTTTAGGGTGTCAATTTCTATGATGTCAGTGAATCACCGTGCTGTTTTATAGTCATAGATTGTATTTCTATAAATAAATATAAATTTAAACGTTTTGTTTTTCAGATTCTTTTGCTAGTAAAGCTTTTAAAGCGCAAGCGATGCCGTCTCAAATGCCTCCTAAAAAGAAATGCAGGACTGTTGCAGATTGCCTAGACCGTGACCATACGCTACTTAGTAGTAGACCTGTATTATACAAGTGTGTAAAGGGATATTGTGAATCAATTCTTCAATGTTGACCCACTGTCAAATAAGTCTTAATATTCTTATAATAGGTATTTTCTGTAATTTTTCTTGTAAACAAATATTGTTTGTTTAATATTGTTATTTTATACCCTTCTTATTTTTTATCCTAATAAAATTATTAGTCTATGAATTTATTGTATACGAATTTTTAATATGAAACTATAAAACTTGTGCGGTAAGCCCACATTTCCAATTTTATTTTCATTACATTTAACCTTTTGCTCCTTCAGAATACAATTGAAGACATAAGTGGATAAAGGTGCCATGTAACATTTTTTCAAAAAATTATTTTTATAGCCAAATATGCTATAATTTTTGTTTGTGATAGGTTTGATTTCCAATTTTGATAAAAAGCTGATATTCATAAGATATAAAGATGCCATGAGCCATATAATATGATAATGCAATTATAGTAAAACTTTGAACTAATTTTTTCTACTCCCACATGGATAATATCTTATCTACGTATAGATTACAAAACGGAAAAAGTATGCTATTGCCTTCAACTGAACGAATATATGTCATATCCATTCTAGGTAGTAAGAACACTGCAAAAAATTATATCCACCAATCATCGTTCATATTTTAATCAACCGATTAAACACATTAAAATGTGTTATTCTTGTGTAGAATCGATAAATATTAGCATTCTTGTTTTTATTTCGTCTATAATTTGTTAATTTAAATAAAACTATATGAAGTCAATTTAATTAGGAGTATTGAAGTAAAAAAATAAAATATTAGGTGGTCCTGTGGCCAACGTTCTTACCTTCCACACAGAAAACTCAAGTTCGATTCTCGGATTGGGAAAAAATTAAATGAACTTTTTCTTTTCTTTTTTCGTTTATTTTATTTTAAAAATTATTAAAAGTAATAAATTATTTTAAAATTAGTTATTTTGTCTTAATAACCTAAAATATTTTTTTATTTGTAAATTTTCGTTAGTAGATCGTAGAAAAAACATACTGTAAAACCAGGGTAGATTGTCCACATCGCACTCAGACGATTGAGTATTCCGCCTACGGCGTTGTGCTCAAATTTCGTCTTCGTGCGATATGGCCATCATATCCACTCTTGTTGCACAAACTACTATTGTGACATGACACCTTTATCCAATGCTCACAAGACATGTGCTTTTGGCACTACGCGACAGTAAGATATAGAGTTTAATGCAGAATTTTACTTAAATATGGGACTTATGGGAAAGTTTAATAAAAAAAAATAGTAGGCTTTGATTTTGACACTAACCTTTAAAAACTGTAATTGTTTACAAAAGAGGAAAAATGGAGTCTAATGTAAACAAGATGTCGAAGAGGCATTCGGAGATTTAGAACAAACAAAATCGGGAAAGATGAAAAACATACGAATACTTTTTGAAATAGTGCGGTGAAAAGAATTATGTTATACTGCATAAAACCTATTATTGGCTTATTTCAATCAAAAGGGAGAGAATGTGCTTTGTTTAACATTGTGGTCGATTTACTCCCTTGCAATGGTTTACTCCCTTTGGACTAAAACATTTTAGTTCCAAGGAAGTAAAAGTGGCCCTTTAAGCCCTAAACTAATGCATCTTTTAGTCTCTACAGTACAAAAAATATGTTATGGCTTATTTTATTGCTTGGATTGAACAAGACTTATTGTAAGTTAGAGTCGCCATTGTTTTTCCGTATTTGGACTAGCTCTTCTCTATATTACCATTGTATATTATCTTCATACAACGATATTACCATTGTATTTAGAGAATTTAGAGAAGATAGTAGAACAACCTTATGGACGTTTCATTGGAGGCAATCCTGTCGTGACATCTGTTAGAAATTCATCAAAATAGCCCGAGCGCTAGCGCTTCCTCGATCATTGAGTATAGAATTCTATATACCTAAAATTTTCCTAATTTTTAAATTCGTATGGGTAGAGTGTCAAATTTAAATTACTATTGTTTATATTCTCTAAAATGATAAATCGTAAATAACTGTTCATCAAGCATAATTAAACTCGTATATCTCATTTTTAAAACAAATATTCTGAATCGATTATCGGTCCATCTATTAGTGAATAGAGAAATTACGTTCGTTACGAAGACGACAAAATTATCAAAGACATGACTTGGACACCACGGAGCTTGCTGCCATCTATTGATACTGTCCATTGTCCTCCAAGATAATTTGCATTGGTATTGTTTTACTAGTTGATCTAAATACAATGATATTACTCGTATAGTAGGTACCATGTGAAATATTTTTAGGTTTTTGTTAGGTTGGTATCTACATATAAAGATTTTTTAATTTATTTAATCTTTGTTATTGTGTGACGAAGTCACTAAATTTTATTTTTAATTCATCTTAAAAATGTATATTTCAATTAATTCTCGCCTGAGAACTTGTAGAAGTTCCCCCGTATTTCTGTTTCCCAGGAATTAGCGTTTTTCAGCAATTGCGAGTACCCTCGTAGTTTAAAATATTCTTTTATTTGCCGAACTCCGAATGGGCATTTTTAGAGTCGATTTCGTATGAATTATCTACTTTTATTTGTCAAGGTACAAGAAGGGCATTTTTTGTATTTCTGAATTGTAAACAGTCGGCTGTGGTAGTGGTATCCCCACTTTGTCGTACTAGTCTTCCATCTTTCTTTACCGAAAAAGCATAAATTGACGGGAAGCTAAAAATGCCGGCTCTTGAGTCCTGACAGTCGAGAAACACTAGGTAGTGAGTTTTCTAAAAATTATAGTGAACGGCGTATTAAATCCGAGTTTGTAACCCGTTAGATTGTTAAAGGTAGGAACCGTATATTATTTTTCTTTCTATTTTTATACTGGCTTTGATATAATTAGTTGGGACACCCGTGTTACCGAACAAGAATTTTGATTCATACCCAGGAATTATTATTTCATCCCTCAGTGGGACCCCGTTGGCAATTTTTTATTTGAGGTTGGATATGGACTAGACTCCGAGTGCTCTCTTAGTCTATGGCTAAGTCCAATTTCCTGTAAAAACCGCCCAGTTAGTATCGAAGTGAGAGGTTCGACCTGTCTCATTTTTTTTTATTATTTATTATTTTAATTTTTTTTGGAAGTTGGAACTATCCTCAGTGTAGAGTGCTCTCTTCTGACAACGTATCTAATTTCCCAAAAAGAAAAATAAACGTTTAAATTAATTTCCGCGCCTCACTTCGTGTAAAAATTATTTTCTTTTATTTTTTATTCAATGGTATTTGAATCATTCCGTATCTCCTGTTCACGTCTAGTTATTGAATGAAGTCAGACGGCTCCTGTAAAATTAAATTCACACATACACTCTCGTTAGACGCTGGGCAAAATTCGTAAATATTATTTTTATGCGATCACCGATCCAAAACACCGTGTAATAAACCTTATTTATCAGTAGGCGAGAATTTTGCGTTTCCCATCGATTGGATAGTAAGATACAAGGGGACTCCGACAATTCGGATTTCATTTATGTGCTTGCATCTGATTTTCGACATAGTTAAATTGTTTTAAGTGTATTAATTTATTTTCATACATTTTCCGTATACTGGGCTTTTCACGATTCCCAGTCCGATTGGCCTCCTGAGCTAGTAAACTGTAAATATTTAAAGGTTTAAATACTTTTCAGTATTAGTAATTTATTTATTTAATTTTCCCGATATAGGGATCCGTTAATGCTGAAATAATTTTCAGTTTTAGTAATTTATTTATTAAATTTTCCAGCTATAGGGATCCGTTAATATTTATATAATTTTAAACTTTAATAATTTATTTATTAAATTTCCCAAATATAGGGATCCGTTAACGTTTAAATAATTTTCAGCCTTAGTAATTTATTTATAGAATTTTCCTGATATAGGGATGTGTTAATAATTATATAATTTTCAACTTTAATAATTTATTTATTAAATTTCCCAAATATAGGGATCCGTTAACGTTTAAATAATTTTCAGCCTTAGTAATTTATTTATAGAATTTTCCTGATATAGGGATGTGTTAATAATTATATAATTTTCAACTTTAATAATTTATTTATTAAATTTCCCAAACATAGGGACCCGTTAACGTTTAAATAATTTTCAGCCT